TACCAAGCCTCCTTCTCTATTGAAAAAAGATTTTTTTTTCAATAGTCTCACGTATCATCCTTGATAGGAATTGATGTTTCTTTTAGAGGATTTGCGGTCTATCAAATCTTTTTTTTATATCTATCTGGTTGGGGCCGTCCAGGATATGATAACAAACTGCAAACTTCCCTGAACTTTGATGCTTCACGTCAGCTCGCCTCAAGATGTAGCCAATCTTTTCTGTGACACCCCTGACAAATGCTAGTACTGCACATGCTTGAATGCGGCTGGCTTCACTCGGTCACTGTGACGTAAGCGCGGGCCCGAAGCTTGTTGACGTGCAGAACCTGCCTGACGTGCTGAAGCGCGACGGCCAGATGTTTGCTGCCACAGATCCCTTGTGCTCTCTATAACAAAGATTAGCTCACGGTAACTAACTGTGAAGGATGGTAGATTCAATGTTTTCTATACACAGTGTGACCTATGGTGTTGTTAGATCATTCATCATCATTCAGGAACTGAGCAGGAAGAAAAATATTAGTCTGACGCCGTGCCCAAGCCAAATACCATATTACTGTCATAACATGGACGCAGCATCCAACAGTTCGATGGTCGACAGTACTTATTAATTGCACTTCTACCAGAACCATTGCCACTAATTAATGTATATATATATATATATATATATATATATATATATATATATATAATACACTTTTTGCGAATAATGGTGATGACTTGCAATTCTAGCCCTAAGTAAAGGCCAGCTAGGGCTTAAGTTTATTCCTTCCATAATGCTGCTCCTCTGGTTATTACAGAGTTCTTTCCGGTAGCAATCATTAAATCTTATATGCTCACCATAATAGTAGTGAGCTTGCTTTAATTGTTATGTGACGCAAGCAATTAATATTAAGTCGCTGTAAATTAAAACAGAAAATTCTCTAACATTTTAAAGTCTACATTTATATTTCTAAAGTCTGCCTGCCCTAGCTCTATTTAGATTGCTTTCCCTAGCATACTCAGACAAATCATTATTTGTCTCTACATTTTGGTGAACTATTTCAAGTATTTGAGCCGCATCATCCCTGTCCCTTATTTTTGTGTGGAATTTATTAATTATAGCAGCAGCTACAGTAGTCTATCATTAAATGTGTAGAAGTTAAAGTAATTTTGATGAAATATTATAAATTATGTTTTAAAAATGCCATTCACCACCTCTACTACCCATATCGACACATAGTCACGGCTCTGGATTTATTAGCGTATCCTGTCATTAACGGAGATTCACCATCTACTGGAGACATTGCTGCGACCCTTATACATCCACATCTATCCTCTATTACAAATCAAAATGCAGATGCGTTGTCACCCGTGAGGACTAAGATCATTTTCTCGTTTCTAGTAAAAAAGGTCTCCGGTTCTCTACACTTACCATACAAAACACAGCAGCATTAAGCTACTATTTCACGCTGGTATTCTGTGAGAGCGTGGTCCTTCCCTGGTCGAGCCGACCCATTCATGCTACAACTATACTTCTAATATAACTGCAGCATGGCTCTACCACGTATAACACACATACATAGTAATTAGAGACGTACTCGCAATGCTGATAGAACAGTGAGTCCATTGGAATTGTTACAACAAAGTAAAAAACATTAACTTTGTGTTAGTGGTGCTTTTAAATAATTAGTTATCAGTACACTGTGTGATGTATGATCTAAGCTTTGTTGTTCTGGGTGCAATACAATACTCACTTCAGATTGCAACGAGGAAGGACTAGATGATTCAGATGTGTCCCGTTCTGCAGTTAAACGTGATGCTGTTCTATCAGTTCATTGCCAGCAATTATGCACTCGGCATGACAACGGCAACTGAAATAATGTAAAATACAAAAAATGAAGTCAAAGTGAAAAAAATAAAAATAAAATAGATTTATTTTAAACTCAAATATAAATAAAATATTTATCAAGTTAAATATTACTGCACAAGGACAGACTTAATACCTTATATTATTTAATAATTAAGGCCTGACAGACTACCAGCAGTCCAAAAACAATGAAAAATTAACTCTCTCCTTATTTGGTAGTTGATAAAAATGGTCAATCTCATAAATAAGCTAGTATGTTTGTCAGATATAGCTTGTGCAGATGTAAAAAAATAAAACAAGTTCTTGAGTTGATATACAATACTTAATAAATTGAAAAATGTTAAACACTTAACTCACGTGGTGCAAATTGTTCCTCACGTGGAGAATCGAACCCAAACAATGTGTGTCATCTTATTCTCATAAGTGACTTGTCAGTGCCACAGCCGATGTATACATGTTCTAGACGAACTATTGGTGCACACTAGTTAGAGTGGCACACTACACGTTCACTGTACTCGAAACTTGTACCTAATAAAGAATATTATTAAAGTAAACTTGGTTATAAAGCATTTCTTAGAGGAAGACATGCCACATCATGATATGTACAAACTATTTACCTGTTGTGTTCGAACCAATTGTTGAAAGACCAACAATTGCATTTTCCAACAAAACAAAATAACACGATAACACGCAATTGAATTATTGTGACATGCCAGTGACAGGGGCCTAACTGTCAGATTCGATGTTGCCACTTAACTGTCATAAAATCTATGAAACGATATCGATTTTTATTCGATTAATAATATCATTAAAAGAATAATCCTCGACGCGTTTTAAGTTATGCACGTTTTTTAAAATATAATTTCCTTTATTTATTGAAATTCTATTTCAAATATATTTTTAAGAACAGTTAACTTGTGCTGTATTGTTTTGTTATGCTTTAGAGAATTCATGGTAAAACAGCTAGAAATTAACTTCTTGAATTATCGTGACATGATTCCATTTTAAATGTTATGTTAAGAACAGATAAGAATAACGGTTAAATTATGCAGTAGCGTTTTGTTATACCCTAAAGAATTCTTGGTAAATCAGCCAGTAATTCGCTTGTTTAATTATCATAACTTTAAATGTGAAGGTTGTCAACGATTTCAACCGAACCTATAACAACGGTTATTTTTGTTTTTAACGGTTGACTACCGCTTTTTGATGACTTAAAATGGATAAAAACCCATTCTGTGCAATAAGTTTTTCTCCTTGGTAATGAATAAACCACAGAAACCCCTATAATGTATAATAGTCCTTTTTTTAGATACAAGTAGCACATTTTAAAGAACCGCAAAAACAACTTTGTTATTTATACAAACACTATGAAAAACAAAATAATTTGTTGCTGGCGATAATGATAGTGGTATTTTGCCTCCATTTAAAATATATGCTTGTTACTACAGAACTATTCATGGGCCTGCGAGTCTGACTCGCACTGAACCACTTTTTTTCAACTTTTAGTTTTATTTTAATGAATAGTTTTTTCGTTTAAGCGGAGCTCTTTTACTTTAGATTTATTACCTCTTTATCTATAATAATCAATCTGAGTAAGTAAAGTGTGTAAATACGATTCTTAAATTGTAAAAATAACAATTGGATTTGAACATCTTAGGTAGGTATTTAGTTTTATAATATTTACTTAGAACTTTATAATTAGTTATATATTTGTAACTAAATATTATTAGTTTAGAAAATATTAATCTCACAATTAATTATTTTAATAATATAATTTTATCACACAGCTAACGCCCACATTAGCAATGTAATGGTGAAATAATTTTCAAAATCGGTCTAGTAATTTTTGAGATTAGCCAAAAAACGTATTCATTGAAAGTAGCGCCCTCTATAATAAAATTCATCCTATATTAGATATCTAAATTTATACATAACATCTACTAGTGAAAGAATTCTCAAAGTTGGGGCGAAAAAAATATTCTTTGATAGTAGCGCCCTCTATAATAAAATGCATCCTACGTTTCTAAGCACCATAGCAAAAAAAGATTCAACATAGCCTAACCCGCACACACAGTAAAAACATAACCATCCTTTTTCGTCTGTAGTCTGATAAACAACTAGTTGATAACGGTTGCGTATCGGCTGCTTTGGATAAATATCCATTGTCAATGGTTGTTTTAAACCTATATCATAACATCATAATAATTATCGAAAAATTATATTAGCATTGTAATAATGACACTGTAAGTAATCGATCGAAAAGGGGAATCGATTTTTTTAATGAGATTTGTGATTGGCAACACTTTATTTTATTCACAAACTAATGAACTAATGATTTACCTAATTTTATTCTTATCATTTCGGTACTTTTAATTTGTGCAAAATTATTCCCACCTTTTTAGGATAAATGAATACCGCGTTTAATAACCATAAATAAAGATATATTTTTTTAACAAATGCACATTGTTGGGCGTTCCATGGCCGAAAATGGGCATCCCCCTTTGTAATATGGGAACATTTTTTAAATTAAATTGTCTCTGATCATTGGGGATTAATAAAAACAACATTTAAAATTAAAATATTTTATGTTTCATTAATTTACAAAAAATATTCAAATTGTTTGCCTCCCACTCTTATGTATGCCCTACATCTTCGGATAAATGATCTTTTGAGCAGTCTTTTGTACCGTCGCTCGCATATTTTTGATGCGGCTGCTCTGACACGACTGCGTAGTTAGTCCAAAGACCCCACAGGCTTACAGTATACTTCCTCTTTCAGACAGCGCCAGTAAAAAAAATCCAATGGATTTAGATCCGGTGAACGTGGAGGCCACAAAATTGGTCCTAGACGTCCGATCCATCTATTTGGGTATCTGCTATTTAAATATGCACGAACCGTAACAGCGTAATGTGCAGGACAACCGTCATTTTGCAGCCAATACGATTCCCTCAGCTCCTCGGAAACCTCTTGGGGAGATCATTTTGAAGAAATTCCAAATAACTTTGCCCCGTTAAATTCCCCGGTAATTCAAATGGGCTAATTATCATACCATTTAATATTCAAGTCCAATAATTTATTTTAAATTGGTATTATTACCTGTCTTCATGCATAAGATGGGGATTTTCTAGTTCCCAACTATGTAAATTGTGTAAATTTAAGTAACCGTCACTTTTAAGCGTTGAATCATCGCTCCACAAATTTTTATTAAAAAATTTGTGGAGCGATTTTTATAAAAAACAAAAACGCACTCTTGAGAGAGTTGGAGAGTTTGCACGCGTGTGACGTGGTAAGGGTGGAATTCATTTTTCTTTAAAATATCGTGTACAGTCGATTTTCCAATACCTGTGCGTCGAGCTATTGCTCGCGTAGAGGTTGAAAGATCGTTTTCAATCTCCTCAAACACCAAATCTTCTACATCAGGACGAGTGATTTTTCCAGCGCTAACACCACCGACACCACTACCCGGCATTCTTCCTTCAGAGTAACAACCGTGGACTCTTATAAATACGCGGTAGTCTGGGTGGCGCGCATTAGGGTACCTCTCCCTATAAAGAGCTGCGGCTGCATTTGCGTTGCCTCTGCATTTTCCATAAATAAAATGCATGTTTGCATATTCTTGTGCCGTGTACTGATGACGTAGCATTTTGATAGGTACACAAAAGTCCAGTTTAGTCCAGAAACAAGCCAAATCGTCGCAAATGTCACCAAACGCAAAACAAGTCCAAATCAGTAAGCGAAACGAATAGTCCGGTAAAATAGCCAAGTGGTCGTTTTAACACTGATTTAAATAATTGCAAACGGAGACAAAATAAATAAATGCGAAGGCGAGCAAGTCGAGTGACGCACTAAGTTTTCTTTTGCATTTAGCTCTTCTCTCTCCCACTTACCCAATTCAGACCCCTCTTTATCTAATATAACACAAAAGACAGCAGGTAGTAAATATGAAGGTCACACGACCCATTTCACGCTAGTAAAGTAACTATTTTAACTTTTAAATTGGTTATATTATTACATTTAAATAAGTTAATTTCTAATACTTAATTTGGTTTCAATTTGTTTAAAAATAGCTGTTTTCATGTATGATCAACTCTTGATGTGTTTTTATTAATTCCCAATGATCAGAGACAATTCAATTTAAAAAATGTTCCCATATTACAAATTTTGTTACTTAGTCAAATTTTCTCCTTTTCTACATTTATGGAAATAAGTCTCTATTTATGGAAGATACATTTATGAATTATACCACTATAAAATTTACACGAAACCGACATTATTGTAAAATTATTAGTCACCCATATATTAATACATTTTTTCATACCCAAGATGTTTGAACTTCGCTTAAATAATATTTTTTGCATGTTTTTCAAAAATAAATTGATTTGCGAATTTTTAAAATAAAAACTGCAAAAGCTATTTATACTGTATACTTTTTATCTATCAGCACAGTTAGTGTATAATAATAAAACAACAAAAAAACCAATAGAAATCATTCGTTTTTGGTCATAGTGTTCAAGACAGTAAAATAAGATAGAAAAAATCGACTTTTCTTTAAAAAAAATATATCAAAGGTACTACTTGTGATATATTATGTTTCGTATTTTTTTCCGAACGGCCATAAGTTGTACTATAAGACATTTCAAGGTTTTTCATTAATTACCGGACAACCTGTATAACGGAGACGTTCACTTTCTACCTTCACATACATGTCTACCAAAAATTGATACTTTTTGTTCGGAGTAGGCTCCTTTGTGACCGGGTTAATGAGTGGAATTTGAAAATGATAACCCTCTTGTCCTTTGCAATAAATCAATGGGTATTGCAGATCGTCATAAAACTTGTGTGTATCGGCTACCCGTTGCAACGTATCATCACGTGCTAGCAAGACAATGTCTCGTGAAGAAAATTAATCACAACTAATTACGGCTGCTATTTCGTTTATCAAAGGTGCATTGTAGCGCCTTTCATGCTCTCCTCGAGGGGTCCGATCTGCGTGAATGACGACTTTATAATCCTCTTCAGGTAGTTTTTCTAAAGCATTTTTTTTAAATGTTTTGACTAAAATTTTACGTTCATGCAAGAGTCTTTGAATTTTGAGCACTATATCTCTATCAACTTCCTGGTTAAATTGACAGCGACCGTCTACCTCAATTTTTACGTCACCCAAAAACATACTTGTAAAAATTTATGCTGTTCGTTTTCAGCTGGAAAAAGTGAACCTATTCTAGGATAAATTTGCCCTTGCACCGTAAATGTAAGCGAAAATCCCGGCATTATTATTTCCCGGAACTCCGAAGGACGTCATTTGAAAGCATGAGTTATATTTCCGATTCCTGTTTAAAAACTGCCGTGACTCATTAGCGCATATAAAAAGAGAGTTTTCAAAGGTTCTTCTGGTTCCCCAAGTAACGGAAGAGACACTTTATCATTGGAACAGCACATGCTTGCGGTCTCATCTTTTCATTTTAAAGCGCTGCAAAATCGACACGCCTTGTCCATCACTCCGATAACAACTCACCTGTGATTTTTATAATCAATCAAAGGATCATAATTGAATGCTGCGTCATTAAAAACCGACCAATTGAATCTTTGAAAATTTTGTCGACGTTCAGCTTGGAGCTGTGCATTTGCATCCCTTCGCGCCTGTGTCTTTCCTGGTGTTTCAGATGCCCTTATAGAAGATTAACGTTCAGCTTGCTCGATGAGTCTGTGTTTTGTTTCATCAGGTGTTTCCGCGGCTCTTAAGGCGGCCTGAAGATCCGCTTGTTTGAATAGCCTTTGCTGACTTTGAGCAGGTGCTTCAGTAGCTCTTAAAGTAGATTGACGCTCTGCCTGTTCAAGACGCCTTTCCTGACTTTGAGAAGGTGTTTCGGAAGCTCTTAAAGCAGCTAGACGCTCTGTCTGTTCAAGACGCCTTTGCTGACGTTGAGAAGGTGTCTCAAATGCTCTAAAAGCAGCCTGACGCTCTGTTTGTTCTTGCATTCTCAGTTCAGCGTCTTCTAAAGATTCTAGCGATCGAGCTAATCTTTTCGCTTGTCTTTGAGAAAATACTCTTGAAAGGCTGGACTTACTTTTGCGAGGCATTATGAAGTAACAAAAAACGTTAAAATACCTAAAAGGAATTAAATTTCCTTTTAAATATTTTTTTAAAAGCAAATCCAAAATATCTAAAAGGAATAAATATTCCTTTTAAATATTTTTTTTAAATCAAAACAACAAAACCAATTCAAGACACAACACGCATTCGAAAACGATAGCCAAAAAAGATCGAATCAACTTAAACCAAATCGCAGAAAACCGAAATTGAAAGCAGTAGTCAATATAAATATAACCAATGAAAAAAAGAAGTAAGAGTATAGGTACCGTATACACTATCTACACTATTAATATACCTTTGAAATATTGTTAAACAACCTAAAACAACGAAAACCAATTCATGATTCTAAATAAATAAAATCCAAAATCAAAGCCAGAGTCTAAATATGTATAAAGGAATACCAACCAAATCAACAAAACCAATCAAAGAAAATATACAAATCCGAAAATGAAAGCCAATATAAATCCATTCAACCTTAACCAAATCACAAAGCAAACAACCGAAATCGAATGCAGGTAGTCGAATTAGCTACGAAATAGAAACAATTTAAGCGTATAGGTACCGTATGCACTATAAGTTGACGCGCTGCTCAACGGCGGGAGTTAATTACATGTCAGGAAATATTTCGTTACCGCGTTTTAAAAACCTAGTAACGACATCTAGTGGAATCAATTTAAACTATGTATACGTTAGTTAATAAGAACTCTCAAAAAATATTTTTCTTATAATTTTGCACAATTTTTCTTATTGTAATACCGATTCATTCATAGTAATAGTTAAGGGTGAAAGCGTGATAGGTGTTGATCCATACTTATAATCACGCCTGTAACCCTTGCGGGGTAGACAGAGCATCAACGGATTACTTAATATCGTCTGCGAGGTTATCGCCTATTCTGTGTATTACAATGCACCAAAACGTTTGAAGAAAATCAGCTGGTGAATTTTATGTTTTTTATTGCTCCCTTCCCGGTTCTGCCTGGTAAAATACAGATCCATACATTTTTTATCTTAATTTTGATAAAAAGACATAATAATCCAGATATTCTGACCCTTTGTGTTCGTCCATCGTACCGTCGTCCGTCTTATAGAATCACGGTGGCGCCACATAGCTGAATTTAATTTTGCAACATATTCTATTTTCCCACGGGAATGAGATGTTTTTCCAAGAAAAAAGTAGTCTATGTCACTCTACAGCCATCGAACTATCCCCATACCAAAATTCATGCCATGCCGACGCTCTGTTGCGACGTGAAAGAAGAACAAACTTTTGCAACATATTCTATTTTCCCACGGGAATGAGATGTTTTTCCGCGGAAAAAAGTAACCTATGTCACTCTACAGCCACCGAACTATCCCCATACAAAAAATCATGTTATACCGATGCTCTGTTGTGACGTGAAAGAAGGACAAACAAACAAACAGACACACTTTCGCATTTATAATATTAGTATGTATTAATCTAGCTGTCTAGCGGCAGTGCAATCGTTTTATTTGAATTCCGATGAATTTTTCATTCCTGAAATAATTTTATCTAAAAAACGCAGAACGCTCTATTTAAAACTGTTAAATTTTGGGCTTAGGAAATACGCGAGCAACATAGAACTGACCATGAAAAACCATACCGTATCCAAATGTAATCTCGTTACCAATGAAATACTACTTTATTTGTAATCGTTTAAAACTAAATGGTATAGAATGGAAGAACATGGTTTTTATTCAATATAGATTATTACGTGATACTTATTGAAAATTATTTTGAACCAAAATAAAAAAAGAAGGAGGTCCTCAGAACTTTTTCTAGGGAAACCGATTTTGATGATTCTTTTATTATTTAATAGCTTATCCTTCTCATGAGGACTAATACAAACTTGATCAAGTTCTCCCCGGTAGTTTTTAAGTTATCCTTAATAATGCGTATTTAATTATATATATAATTGATTTTGCGCTTTGATGATCATTTTATTTTGAAGTCGGTTGTACAAAATTATTAGAAAATATGTCAGATAAGACTTGCATTTGAATCGTTACTCACACTTGTCTGTGGCTCCAACGATTATGTGTACAGCTGCCCGTAGAACTTCTCAATCTCAGTCGAAATTTCAGTTATCCTGGAAATGTTGCTGCCACATTTGGTCTTCGGTTGGCTTTCTCTGGCAGACAGATCTTTGGCAAAAACTTTGGAGTCAGGGCTCCACTCAATCGCTTCTTCAATACGAACTGTATTGAAGTTGCGTAAATCCTGCCGCATGTATTTGGAATCTGTCTGTTCAGTTTCTTGTATACTGTCAAATCTACTAAAGACTGCAGCTTAATTTCCCGTCTAACAGCCATGACAATAAAAGTGTGATTAGAGAGTTTTTGTGTTCTGCTGCGACAGACCTTGCAGAACTTTGCTACGACCGCGTGGACAGGTTCTACGAGCTTTAATTGATATCGTCGAATGTATTGCAGTCTTCTAGACACCGAAAACGACTAAGTAACTCGAGCTGAAACTTTTCGGGGCTTTGGATTAGATCACGAGGGGGACGGAGCACTGTTTTCATTAGACG